AGCAAACACTAACTCCCCAGCCCCCAGCAACCAGGGGTCCACTTTCTGTCTCTTTGAACTTGACTCCTCCAGGTGCCTCATTAAGGTAGAATCATGAAATATTCAGCTGACTGATTTCACTCTTCCTAATGTCCTTCAGGGTCATTCATGTTGTCTCCTGTGTCAGAATTCCCCTTTTTCAGGTTCCTCCATAGACTAGGCATGGACCCAGCTATGCCAACCTTTGGTATCTATCCTGAAGAATTAAAGTCATCTTACTACAGTAACACATGCATACCCATGTTTATAGCAGCACAATTCACAGTACCCAAACTATGAAACCAGCCTAGGCATCCAGGAACGGATGAATGGAAAAAGAAAATGTGGCATAGATACACAATGGAGTTTTATTTTAGCTATAAAGAAAAAAGGAAATTATGTCATTTGCAGAAAAAAAAAATTGATGGAACGTGAGACCATGGTCTCACGTTCCATCCATTACGTTAAGCAAAATAAGTCAAACTCAGAAGATCAAGGGTTGTATGTTTTCTCTCACATGCAGAAGCTAGAAAGGAAAAAGGAAAAGAAAGGTGTTGGGGGGGGGGGGGCAGGTCTCATGAAAGTCAAAGGGAGATCAATAAAGGAAAAGGACCAAGGGGTGGGAAGGTGGGGAAGGAGAGAGGAAGTGCTGGGGAGTGATATTGGTCAAATTATATTGTTATATTGTGTGCATGTACGAATATGTAATGACAAACCCTGTCACTGTGTATAACTCTAATGCCCCAATAAAAAATGTGGGAAAAATCCCCCTCCTTTTAAGGCTGAACAATAAATAATCCACTGTATCATTGTTATGTATGTAGCACTTTTTTTTTTTTTATCGTCCTATACTGAGGCCGGAAGCCAAGGTCTACAAAACAAGCACTCCACCACTGAGCTACCTCAGTAACTTTTTAAACTATTCTTTTAGAAAAATCAAAGCAATGTATTCTCATGTAAAAAAAAATCTGAACAGCTCAAAAACAAATAAAATGAAAAATGGACTTGTATTCTCTCTGCTCACAGAAAGCTGTTTCTGGTGAATCCTAGAATTTTTGAGGCACAAGGGCCAACAGGTTTACATCTATTTTTGACACATATAGTGACTTACTCATGCTTCCAAACATGAGTGTGCATACTATAAAATGTGTAACAACACAGACTGCTGAGTCCCAGCTCCAGGGTTCCCAGCCCAGTAGTTTAAGGTGGCCCAAGATGATGGGCTCCTGATAGGCCCCCCCCAGGATGCCAATGCTGCCCTGGGGCACACTCTCTACCGAGTAGCACCATATAAGTAATGTCCTGCCATGTGCTTTTCCACTTAGTATCAGTGCCGAAGCTCACCCTCACTCCCCTCAACCACTACATGCTCCAGGGTTTGGAAATTCATGACATATCTAACTAGGCCCTACTGATAGACTTGATGTTCCTTCCAAGTTTTCAAGTTTGGAAACAAAATTGCAATGAACACAGGCTGTACTCTGAACACTTGGGACACTTTTAACATTGTATCTGGTGGATTCCTAGGCATGGAATCCTAAGCTGTAAATTACTTCTTCTGATGCATATTACCAGGTCCCTTCCTAGGTACAGAGACTTTCCCATCAAGTTTAAAGATGCTTGTGTTCACACAGGCAGGTGAAAAGAGAACCTTCTCATTTCTTAATTTTGATTTTGCATATTTTGACTGAGGGAGCACTTGTTAGCCATTCGGAAACCCTCTCCTGGCTGAGCATGGTGGTACTTGCTTGTAATGCCAGCAACTCAGGAGGCTGAGGCAGGACATTGCAAGATTGAGGCCAGCTTCAGCAGCAGTATAACAAGACCCTGTCTCAAAATTAAATTTTTTTTAAAAATGGGGTTGTGTTGGGGCTGTAACTCAGTGGCAAAGTGCCTCTGGGTTCAATCTCCACTAAAAAACAAAAACAAAAACAAAAAAAAACAAACAGAAATCCTTTTCTGTTCTTTCATGTGCTTTGGCCATTTTTCTGTTTGTTTTTCTTTTCCTTATTGACTTGTAAGAACTCTGTCGTCCATGTTGAAAATATTTTTTTCCAGTTTGTTATTTGCCTTTAGACCTTAGGATATTACATTTTCATGTAGCCAGTTTTAAAAAATCTTTCCTGTGGAGACTCCTGGATTTTGTCATACTTTCCCCCACTCCAAGAATATATACTTTTAGAATTTTTGCTAATGTTTTCTTCTAGTAATTTTACGGTTTCCTTTTTACATTTATATTTTTGTTCCATCTGGGATTTATTTCAGAAATAGAGAACCATTTTTATTTATTTATTTTTTCCTAAGCAGCTAGCCAATTATCCAATTTGATTGAATCATTCATCTTTTCTCCTCTGATCTAAAATGTCACTTTATCATATATTCAATTTCCATTGTTCATGGGTGTGTGTCTGGACTCTACTCTTTTCCTTTGATCTGTCTGCCTGTTCTTATGCCAGTACCCAACTATTTTATTATTGGAGCTTTACAGAACATTTTCATAGCACTAGTTGCCCCTTATAATACCTCTTTTTCAGAATTTCCCAAGCTCTCTCTGCATGTTTATTTCTCCAGATGAACTTTAATATAATTTGTCAAGTTCAAAAGATCTTGTTGTTTTTCACATCTTCTAACAGATGTGATTTTCTGATTTCTCAGCGCACAGCCAAACAGAAACAAGCTGAGAACAAGGGGGGGTGGGTTGGAGATGGGCCTGAGGCAGGCAAAGTGAAGGCAAGGCAGGAGAAGTGACAGCTAACAGGGAGGGAATAAAAGTGATGAAGAACTATAAAAAGTAGACACAAGAACTATGAATATGTAGCCATCAGGGAAGTGGGGCCAAACAGGGCTTGGGATTTTCACTACATTACAACCAGAATAGTGCTGGACCCTTGTGACCACAGTTCTGAGTCACGAAGACTCACATGTTCTGTAACCTCTGATTAAGAAGGCCGGGAAGTGTGTAATACCCACTAGTGATTCCTATCCAAAATATCCCTTTTTAAGGCCTCAGATATTAATGTCTGGAAAACCAGTATGAAACGGTTCATTCTTGGATGATGAAATCAATGTGACATGTTTCTGGTCTCTACAGTTTTCTCAAAACCCACCTCCAAATTCCAAGGAGCTGCCAGCACTGAAATTTGAATTCATTCTACCCATGGAAACAGAGCTGAGGGAAATAGTCCCAGTCTTTCAGCCAGTCCAAACAGCTCAAAAAAAAAATAAAAAAAAGATCGACCTCTTACCAAGCGTCTGCCCCAACAGAAGAACGTGTTAATAGGCAGATCATCCCCCAGTCCCCAACATCCCCACTGAGTGAATGCTATGTTCCCATCATACTGGGGGACTGAGGCTCAGAGAGGTCAAATGACTTGAACATTTAAATTAGTATGTGACAGAGCCCTCACTCTCATTCCTGCCACCACCAGAGTGCCCAAAAGGCAACTGATCCTATTCAGACATCCCTTTGCAATGTCCTGCCACCTGCCCAATTCCCATAGCCAGGAGACAGACATCTCACCCCAGACCTATAAATGGTATGTGCAGCTGGAAGGGTGAAGTGAGGTGTCAACCTGAGCCACTCAGGAAAGTTATGGACAGGCTCTCCCTGTATGTCACTTTCCAGCCCCAAATCAAGGATTCCCAAAGTAGGGAGGTTTCCCCTGGAACTTAGAGATACCTCCAAGATTAGGGCACTGCCTGCCACAGCCAGGGCCTCCCTGCCCTCCCTAGGTTATCCCAGGGCACAGTTTCTGTGTTCACCATAATACACCTTTGCCAGAGGTGTGGGCAGAGCCCAGCCTGGTCCCAGACACCCCAGGGAATTAGGAGCTGTGCAAGTGACATAGGAAAGAAGAGGTGACAGGGGAAGGCACTCCCTTGGGAGTTCCCCAACACAGAAGAAACAGAGGTCAATGCACTCCTTTGTTTTTTCTTCCCAGGCCCTTAATAAGGGGCATTACAGGGCTCACCCTGCATTCAGGTACACAGGGGTGGGAAGAAGAGGCTCTCAAGGCTGAGACTCCTGGGGGGCCACTTTCGTGGGACTATATGGTCCGAATGGCAGGCAACCAGTGTTTTCAGCCCTCTGTAAACCCCCAGCCCAAGACCTGGCTGACTGTAGAGCACTGACCCAGAGGAGGAGCAGGGTGAGCAAATAAATTCATTCCAGTACCCCACCATGAAGTGCCTACTATGCGCAAAGGACCTTGCTATTGAGGTGGAAGATGAAAAGGGACCTGAGTTGGAATTCGCTGGAAGGGAGACAACGTGCACGGAGAAGGTCTGGGAGCCGGGCTGCGCGGGGTGTCGCTGAGACTCAGTCCAAGCATCCCCAGACCCTGGGCGCGGAGGACACGCGCGCTCCGGGGCCCGGCGCGCGCGCTCAGGGCCGGCGCCGCACGCGCGCGCGCTCACGCCGCTGCTCCCCCGCCCGCGCGGCTCCGGCTCCCGCGCGCGCGCACTTGAGGCCTCCCTTGTGCGTCTCCTCCATTCGCTACGTGCAGAATAGTCCGTCGGCAGCAGCTGCAGCGCCGGGTGGGAGGGGGAGGAGGAGGGGAGGGGGAGGCGGCGCCCGGGTCTGGGGGAGGGGCCGCGGCGGCCGGGCGAGAAAGGGGTGGGAATGAGGGGCTGGGCCCCCGCAGCGGCCGAGCCCGGGTGGGCGCCACGCTCGTCCCCTCCCCCTCCCCGTCACTGTTCCTTTCTGCAAGGCCATCGCGGCCATCCTCCTGCTCCGTGTCGGAGGCGTCCTGCAACCCAGCGGACCTACAGGCTGTTTCTCCGGGTGGTCTCCTCCCTAGAACCCAGACCCCAGACCCAAGAAAGAGCCACTCCTGCTGTCGCCTCTCTGCTTCCCGTCCCAATCACATTCCCAAGCTTTTGTGTGATACCACCCCACAGCAAGCCCTTCCCCACTCCTCTTTTTGGGGTGGGGTCCCTAAGAGGTGCTGCAGCCTCACTCCCCTTCCAGCCCTTGCTCTTACCCCATCTGAAGGAAGAGGCATGGACAATGTGGAACCCGCGAGTGTATTTCCCAGCATCTCACCATGCGCACACAGGCTCAGCCATGAAAAGGTCACCTGGCCCAGAGAACTCTGCTGCCCTGGTCCCTAGGGCCGCTTCCAAAGGAGTGCCGGAAGGACTGAGCTGGTAGGAATTCTCAGGCATTACAAGGATGTACCCTATACACCTGTTTACAAAGGGTTCCCCAGGAATGTGATGGCAGGGGTCACAAAGGGGTGGATCCTATAACCCTTAAGGACTCCAAATAGACCAGATCCTGGTCCTGCCAGGAATCCAGATGTGGCCCAGATGTCCACAGCAGTCCCTCCCACAGGGTGGGACACCAGCTATTGTATGCAGCCCCTCCCAATCAGTATCAAGGGAGGAAAGCTAGCAACCTCCAGTGCCCATTCCCCATTCAGCCTGCTGGGAAAGCACAACTCCCTCACCTTCCTCTTCCTGCCTAGAGCCATCTGGGTTCACCACTTAGGTTCAACCTGTGGTCTAACTTCTAATCCTCTGTTGAAAGGTTAAGTCTAGATCCCCAGGAAGGAAGGTGTCCTTCCTGGGTCAGACTCATATCTCTCTCTCTCTCTCTCTCTCTCTCTCTCTCTCTCTCTCTCTCTCTCTCTCCCTCTCTCACACACACACATACACATACACACACACACACACACACACAGTGACCCATGAGCCTGGGCTCTACATTGTATACAACTGGACACAAGGAAAGGGATTGATTTCTCTGCTCCATTCCTAGTGGCCTCATCTTTGGGCAACGCCCTCTGCTGTCCATTGGGAAGTACAGGAAAAAACAAGACTCAAGACACTCAGGATCTGCGGAGGGGGACGAGAGAGAAACAAGTGGAGACTTGGAGCTTATAGTACCAGCTGGGCTGGCCACACACAAGGGAGGCATGATGAGGTTTTCCTGGATATAAGGGGTTTGGGGCCAGCTCTCCATGGGCTTAGGGGGCAAGTCAAGTAGGTAGATGGTGCTCAGGACACCCCAGGAGTGGCCCTTCCCATGTGCTAGGCCCTGCCCCTGCCCTGGATGGCTCACATACTCACTGACCCTGAAGGCTGCTGTGTGCTGCCAGGGGGCCCTCCCTAGTCAGCCTCTCCAGGGGTGGTGGTTGGGAGGAGCTGAAACTTGGGACAGAGAGAAGGTGACCCCAAGATAGAAGGCTGCAATTGGCAACCCCAGTACACATATACACAGGATGCCCAAGCCCAGATCCCTGGCATGGCAGGACTCAAGGGGGTTTGGGCCTGAGTCACAGCCTGGCATGAACCTGCCTGGTCCCAGGAGATGCCAGCTAGTCCAGAGGTGAGACCTGGGTCAACAACCCATTGCCCTGCCTCCTGACGCCAGGTATCCTCCCCATCACGTCTCACACGTGGGGCCAGGGCGGGACCAGGGCGGGACCAGGGCAGCACACAGGGCGGCACACAGATGGTGCTGGGCTGGGCTAGTGCTGGGGTCTGTGCCTTAGAGCCACTGAGGAGCAGGACAGGACAAAGATAACTGAGGGGCTGTTCTTGCTGCAGCAGGAGCAAGCCTGGTTAGAGAGAAAAGGGACTGGATGGGCCCCCAGACTTTTGGAGTCTGTCCTTTGTCCTGAGTGAGGAAGGCTGCAAGTGTCCCCAAAGACTGGCAGCTCTAAGACCCACCCTCAAGTTGCTTCTCCTGAGGTGGGTCTTCTAGTTTGGCCCTCAGGGCCTCAACATCAGCACACACCCTTCACCCAGGTCTTACCTCCAAAGGCAGCCCCTGCTCCTGGCTTTCACAGCACCCACTGGGCCCTTGTCCCTAGACCTGACTTCAGTTCTGCATCCCAGCAAAGTCAGAGATCCTGGCTGTCTGCACCACTCCCATGGTAAATGACACTGTAGCTTCCGCTGTCCCACCCTCTCTGCACCACTTGACTGATTCACTGACTTCCACCTTGCAGGCCAGGCCCCCTTCCAGGCCCAGCCTGGGCGAGGAGGATTCCTAGGGGAGGGATTGGGGCCCAGGAACAGAGAGCCAGGCACTTTAATTGGAGGTAATTAGTTAATTCACTCTGAAAGCAATGAAGGAGGAGAGAGGAGGGGAGGGGGGCTTTGGCCTAACAGGGTTCAACTGCTCACACTGTGGTGTCTTTCTAGCCCAGAGCTGACCCGAGCGCCCACACGCCCTTGGGAGACCCTCGATTCCATCCCAGATCAGTCCAGCAAGGCCAAGAGCAGAACCAGCAAGTGTAGGAAACAGCGTGTGCAGTGGGGTGGTTGCGAACCAGGCTTTTGAAGTTAAGTTCACACCTGGGAACTGGCTGGAGAAGGGGATTGTGGAGATGCCGAGGGTCCTGGGGTGGGAACTGGTACCTATCCTGCCACTCTACCTCCATCCCTCTCAAGGTCATTCTATCTACCCCAAGGTAGGGGGCCCATCCTCCTCCTTTGGTCTGGAAGTCCAGGGGCTGCCCATCCTAAACCGAACAGGGCCTGCAGCTAACTCCACTCGATTTACTGCAGGAAACCACTCCAGCAACGGGGAAAGGGGCGCCGGAGGACAGAGCCCCTGCCGGGCCCCAGGGGGCGTGTCGGCGGCCCCAACGCATCGCCGGCAGGCAGCGTGGCGGGGACTCTGCCCGACAGCCTCCTGCGCCGTCCGGAGCAGCTGACTCGCTGGCCGGGAGCCAGGTCGCCACGGCCGGGAGGCAGCAACGTGCGGCGCGGCATGTCGCGGGTGCAGAGGCAGGGAAACGTGGGGGCGGGCCCGCGCGCCTCCTCCCCCTCCCCACGCTGGCCCATTCATAAAACCCGCAGGCACTGCCCGGGCCTGGCAGCCTTGGCTTCCTAATTGCAAGCTCATTAAGGAGTTTGCATCTCATTTGCATGGAAATCATTTCCTGGCCCTCAACAGAGAAACACCCCCACCCCATCCAGCAGCCCCCTGTGCCCTGCTCTACCCAGCCACAGTCCCAGAGAGGAAGGGGCCTGTCCCTCTGGTCGGCAGCCCTCTACCCTGCCGCCTCCCTATTCCTCCTGTCCCCCTTGGGAATGGGGGAGGGGGATTGGCAGAGCACCCACCCAGCAAGGAGCCCTGCCTGTGCCCCAGGTGAGCTGGCTCTGCCCCAGTGGGTCCAAGTGAGGGAGATGCCGGCCAAGTCATTTGCCCCCCGGCCTGGCCATGCCCAGGGAAGGGAGGAGGCGGTGGGCAGTCCTCTGGAGCAGCTGGGAGTACCTGGCAGGAGTAGGGCTGGTGGGTGAGGCTGTTCGTGCCCAGCCTCACGTACCTTCCCTGCTACAGGCCGTGCCCCCACCCCCACACCCCTCGCCCCACAGAACAAGCACTCAGTGAGTACCAAACAGACACCCAGTCACCGGCGCACAAAGACACCCACACTGGGCCAGCCATCATGGCAGCCTCCCTGGCAGCCACCCGCGGCGGGCAGACAGATGCCTTCACGACCATTTTGTTCTACAGCATAGTGCCAGGGTTGGGGGAAGGGGCTTGTCCTGAGACTTCTCTGAGTAAAAGGCTCACAGGGGGGTTCCCTTATGAACCCCAGATGTGGCCTTTTGCCCCTCTTCTCCTGCAACCCATACTTATGGGGGCCCCCAAGTGCTGCTTCCTGCATGAGGACCCGGCTTCTGTTCTTCCTGTCCCAAGTATATGTGGTGAAGGAATTGCTCCCCACTCATCTGAAGTGGGGGGATATTTTAATACAAAATCTGTTGGAAATGGAATAGAACTGCCCAAAGTAGATGAAATCAGATACTGCCTGGAACAGTGTCCTGGATCTGTATATCCTAGCATAGTGAAAATGATCACGAAATTTTCAGCATTAGAGTCCAAAATAAAATCTAGCTCTTGTTCAGGTCATTAAGGTCCCTCCCCAGTCCTGCTCATGCTTCCTGTCTGCCCACACTCCTACCTGCTGAATCTGAAGTTTCTTCCTTCTATGGCTAGGGCCAAAAAGGGTGGGCAGGAATGTTCAGTTGGCATTTGAGCACTGTGTGTGTGCATGGTACAGGGATGCTTAAAGAAAATACTAGAACACTTATTCATTTTTCATTTCATCCTTTTTCTAATTAATGTGACCATATTGTAAAAGATCAACAATACAAAATATATTCATATTACAGGGGTGTGCTCAACAATCTTTTTCTTGCTAGGGTTCCATGATCAAAAATAGCTTCAAGGTCACTGGTCTAGACTTCAGGCAGAGTGACTGTGGGCAGGGGCTGGTTTGTCTTGTCCGTCTGAGTATCTGGCCTGAAACACGGTTAGCTCAGAGCCTTGAAGGGAGGCGGGAGCAGGGACAGAGTGGTAAAGGAACAAAGTCCACTCCTAGAAGTGACAGATGAAGAAACTGAAATGACTCTGGGTGGGGAAATTGCTCAGAGGAGGACATGGACAGATAGTCTCTCATTGGTGCTAGATCTGCTGGGCCCAGCACACAGCATCACCCAAACCCAGCTCCCACCCACATCAGCAAGCACCACTCCCTCTCCTGCCTGCTAGACTCTGCTGGCACCAAAGGAGCAGAGCCAGGTAAGGGTTGCCACCCACCACATCTCCCAACTTGGCAGGAAGCCTGTTGAGTGTTTAGTATTCTGGAATTCTCCAGAAGTCCATCAAATATGGAGAAAGCATTTAGGCTCCAGACAGGCCCCAATTCCCCTCCAGGTGAATGACGTGGGCACAACACATAACTGCTATGGGCTTTGGTTTCTTCGCCTGTAACACGGGACTGACAAGCACACTTACCACGTGGTGTATTGTGGATACTGACCAGCCTGCTGGTGTACACGTCTGGCACATAATGCATGCACCAGAGTCTTCCTGGTCTGTGCGACAGGTGCCCACCAAAGAACCTGTTGGGGGCTGGGATTGTGGCTCAGCGGTAGAGCGCTCGTCTAGCACGGGTGGGACCCGGGTTCGATCCTCAACACCACATAAAAATAAAGGCATTGTGTTGTGTCTATCTACACCTAAAAAATAAATATTAAAAAAAAAAATGGTTAGTCTTTGTTAAAAAAAAAAAAAAAGAACCTGTTGATTGTGACTTGGCATCATTCTGCGAAGGAAAATTCTGCAGGCAGACAAATGAGCCCTTGCA